GTGAGAGCGTGTTATAGGCTATATGACATTATAGTCAGATATGACAGCGCTAATGCAGCACGCATTGCCGCGGACGAGTAGCTGAGCGTCTCTAATAAAATGCAGCGCTTATCTTTTGATTTCGTTGACGTGAACTCCGTTAAATTTAAATATAGCGCATCGGATTTATATCCGTTTTGCGACGACACATTTATGTGGCCAAGTGTAAATGGAAACATTTTAACAAATCAGATAGATATCCGATCAGCGAAAACGCATGAAATGACCAGGTGTAAACAGGCCCTTACTTACACCTCAAATGCCCTCACTTCCTCACATCTGATAAATTGCTAACGCTAAACATTCTTTTCCTCATTGAAAATTCATTTTCACTTAGAAATCAGATTGTGCAAAGAAAATGTGATCAACTTTAAGAGTATACTAGATTTACACCTATTCTGAAGAGAGAAAAACTGATTGCCTTTCAGACAAAGAAGACTCTGTTTAGTAATGAAAACCATGTCTGTGGTATGGTTTACTGTAACTGCTTGTGTTTTTCCTCCTGAAGTGCCTAATATTAATCAGCCTCTTCGGTTTGTATGTTGTAGCAGAACTTTAAGTCTTAATATAATTTAAACGGGTGAGTTATAAAAAAATTCACCCCCCCTCACAGTTGTCATGAAGGGCAAAATTAGCTATATAGACCAAAATGATTTTTTGAACAAGGCTGTAAACGTTTTTTTCTGCTGTAAATTTGGGCACTTTAACATGGGGAGTCTATGGGATTGACTCCCTTTTGCAGCCAGCCTCTAGCGGCCAGTTGATGAATTACAGTTTAAGTCACTTCCTTGTTGACTTCATGAGAGAGAGCAGGAGGTTGCCGCTTGGTTCTACCCTAAGATAATTTTAGTATTACTCAAATTTAAAAAGTAACGCGAAAGTAACGCAAAAGTAATATAACGCATTACTTTCCATAAAAAGTAACTAAGTAACGTAATTAGTTACTTTTTTAAGGGAGTAACGCAATATTGTAATGCATTACTTTTAAAAGTAACTTTCCCCAACACTGCTCAAACCCTTGACATTAGAAAAATCTGATACAAACAAACCAAAACAGCATCTGTGCAGACCAGTTCCAGTATGTATCTATACATTGTATTGCATTCTTTTGTGATCTCTTTATAGTGAGGGTCATAACAAACCTGCCTCATACATACTTTCCTATGGGATTCGTGTGGGAAGTGCAAATTCTCCCAAGACAGGTCTGCTCAGTGAATGGGGGCTGGTGGTGTAAATTATAAATGCCCCTCTTACGTGTAGTAACTGTGCAGGAACAGGCGGTCACTATGCAAATTGATAGCTGTGTGATGGCGAAAGCAGTGAAAGTGGCCAAGCCTGCCTCAGTATCAGCTCTGCTCTCTTACATAATTCCATGTGGACTTTCAGGTCTCATTGAGTCCTGTATATCAGCTGCTGGAGAGTTTACCTGATCAGTTTGTTGGTAATGAAACCATGGAGAAATTTTTTTGTCATTGTTTTTTTCACAGAATGAAGAGGAAGTTCTACTCCTGGGAGGAGTGCATGAATCTGAGAGAGGTCAAGGTATGATCTCAGAGGACACATAAGCCTTCATTAATCACTTAAATTAAAGTCCCCCTGTAGTCAAATATTTTATCCCTTAAAACTTATCTTTGATCATCAAAATTACATATTTAAATGTTTTTTCTTGTGAAAATAATTTTCTCATTCCTTAAAATAGCTTGAATGCAACTCTACACCCTTGCCTCATTTACTATACGCTGATCTATGTATATGCAAATGATTCCCGCCTCCACTCAGTCACACCAGCCAGCGCCTCCTGATCCACTGAACCGTAGTAAAAGCAAAACAATGGCATACACGGATAATGACTGATAAAACTATCTTTTTACTAGCGGACAACTACAGTGAATACTGTAACATTCGTTAAAGTTACTTACTTGACGATGTTGTGTCCTAAAATGCCTTGAAGACCCGAATGCAGCCGTTTGTGATTGTTAATTCGCGCCCGCGAGCATACGCGTGTGAAGTGCAGACGCCGATGCGGGAGAGGTGGGTCTGACTCCGGGCTACTTTTACACTGTTGCCACGGGTTATAATGCAAGTTAGCGGTTCTAAATTCACATTAAACCACAGCTTCATGGGTCTTTTGCTTTAATTTATTTTTGGTTTTGTGCTGGTATTGGTATATTTTGCATGCTAGTGATAGGAATCGATCCCTTGACGTGATTGGTTATTGGTTTGTGACGTAGCAAACCGAGGGCTGTTTCAAACCGTATTTCTGGGTCAGCCTTTGGGAAACTACAGTTTTAAGGAGAAAATACTCAGCAATGGTGTTGATTAATAGATTGGCACATGGTTTGTCTAAAGGCATATTAGAAACACCATATAGACAAATAAACAACATAAAAAACTTGATTTTCACTACAGGGGGACTTTAAAAACTAAAAATTGTCATCAGACATTTAGGATTTACACTGTGCCTTAACCAGACACAATGCGACAAGCAGTTTCTCTGTCCACACCATCTGTGATAAGGCTATAAGACACAACAAAATCAGTGACAAATTGCAGCCAGAAGAGCCTGTGAGCAGGCTCTGCAAGCACTGTCTGGCAATAAAATGGATAATTAAATAATCAAATTAATAAAGATTTTACCATTATTAAAGGGGTCATCGGATGCAAAATTCACTTTTACGTGTTGTTTGAACTGAAATGTGTCTTGGTAGTGTGTGTACGCAACCACCCTATAATGATAAAAATCCACCCAGTGTTTTTTTTTTTTTAATCCCCATACATAACCCCTTTCTCAGATCAAGCTGTTCATAGATTCTTGGTAGACTGACGTAGTTCTGCACAGGCCCCTCCCACGATTGTTGATTGACACCGGCGTTTTATCACAGACCCACCCTGAGGGAGCTGTCAACAGTCCACCATTGTTTCGACGCAGGAGCAGGTGTAGACAAGAATGTCTCCTTAGCGATTGAGGTGTTTTGTTGTTGGATGTAATAATGAACATAGCAGTCGTCATTTATTCCAGACATCTGAGCCGCTGAAGACACAGAGGATTGCTTTTGTTTTTGAAGGGAATGCGCCCCCGATCTACCTAAATGCATCTATGTTCACGTGACTCATTTGTGATCCAGCTTCACCTCCAGAAGAAGTGAATATAAGTTTTTTTTTATGAATCTTTGCAAATCGCCTTTCCTATAATGTGCTAGTTCGCAAGTTCCATGACGAATGTAGCTAAAGTTTACAGTCTCATGAGAACGGCTCGTCACCCCACGGAAGAGAGGGATGTGGTGAGCAGAGCTTATTAGTATTTAAAGGGACATGCACCGAAACGGGTCGCTGTGAACAGAGCTGTTTTTGACAAGGTAAAAAGGGTGTTGTTTTACACTACCATTGAGAAATTTTAACCAAAGTATGTTATAGACTTTTCTTTAAGACCCTAAAGTATATCAACTTGAAAAAATGGCCATCTGATGACCCCTTTAAAAATATGTACATATTTACAGATACTGTCTTTGTCATGGAGTACACTTGTTTGTTCACACAGAGTTCACAGTTTGGCCGTTCTTCTTTCCTTAAAATTATGTATATTATCCATTGTCACTTTTTATGGAATATCCCATACAATGATATTTGAACTAAAATAAACTTTAAGATTATACAAAGCACATAATCAGTACCTGAGATTATCATCGTTATTGGGTACATTTATTTATTTTTTATTCTTGTCCCTAGCCATGATGTTGTAGAAATAGAATGTTTTGTGAGTCAAATATTGTTGCAGTATAAACGGACACAGACACAACTGTAAAATCTGGGGGTTCATAGTGTTTCTGCTGGTATTCTTCATTTCTATGTTGCAGTCACTGAAGAAACTGAATCATGCTAATGTGGTGAAGTTAAAGGAGGTGATACGAGAGAATGATCACTTGTACTTTGTCTTTGAATACATGAAAGAAAACCTCTACCAGCTCATGAAAGACAGGTATGAAGAGATTCCAGATCTTTGAGTTTCTTTCTTCTGTTGAACATAAAAAAAGTTATTTTAAAAAATGTGGGTAACCAGTTCCTGGCCCTCATTGAAATCTGTAGTATGGAAAAAATACTATGGAAGTCAATGGTGACCAGAAACTTTTTAACTGACCAAAAGAACAACTTGATGGTGATTAAATGATAACAGAATTTAAATTTTTTTCCATGTCCAACTATCCCTTGAAGTCAAACTTAACCTTTGTCAAAACATTTTGAAATGGTTGTCACTGTGCTTGATGTATGGCACTTTTTGACAGCTTTGCTGATTCTCTGTCTCCAGAACCAAATTGTTTCCAGAGTCAGTCATCAGGAATATAAGCTTTCAGATATTGCAGGGACTATCATTTATTCATAAGCATGGTAGGTCACAGGGCCATCATATTTGTGCCCAACAAACTAGAACAACTAAGTCTGAGTGCAGTATCAGATGTCTGAGGACCTTAACTACAGACTGAATCTTGCGACTGTTTCTGCTGAAGACTCAGTTGTTCTTGTATCTGTTTGGTGACAGGATGTGTGAGTATCTCAGCTGCTGCCAAAATGCCATAAATCCCATAAAACCTGAAATACCCATGGCTTCCCTTCTGACCCATTGTATTATAAGCAGTTAAAGGGGTCATATCATGTTTATTAAAATATTTTCCCCCCCTGAAGTTCACTGATAATGTTAGTGCCTTAAAGCCTTCCATGTCAGTGCCTTATGGTAGGCTATCCTCTTGCCATGTGAAATGGGTAACAGCACTTATTTGCAAGATGTCAGAACGCTGTTGCCTTCAGTGTAGTTTTTTAATTGCCCCATCAGTCAGTTACTCAAACAGGTAAGACTAAACCAAAATGATCAGGGATCTTATTAAAGTTTCACATTTTGAAAAAAATTCAGTTACTCCTTTATAAAGGCTATTTCACCTTGCACCGACAAACGCTGACCAATGGCAATGGACACTTTTGTCAGATCAGTGTGTTAATTAGTGATCAAGATCAGTGTACCTGTTGGCACCTGTTGTTGGTCGGCACTTGTTTTCGGCGAACATGTTCAGTGGCCATTCATTGGGTCATGGAATATCTGATAAGTGACATACTTTAATCTGGTGATTTTTGCTGTTGATTGGTGCTGTTGGTGGAGTGTGAATTAGCCTTACTGTTGATATTTATCAACATTATTTATTATTTTATTTATTAAGATATGAGGAGAAGCAGGTGCTCCTCACATTCTTTTGGCAACAACCTTTTGACAGATTTTACCACATTTTACAAATTGTTTTTGATTACATTTTTTTCTTCTGGTGAAAGAAATACAAAAATTAAGAAGAAAGCCAAAATATTAAATGTCATGGTTGTTTATTTACTAGGGATGTAATGATATCAAAATCTCACGATACGGTAATATTGCGATATGAAGTCCACGGTAGAATATTTATTACGAAGAAAGAAAAAAAAAAGAACAAATGAAGAATTGGGCAAAAATGAAAGTTTTGTACATTTTAAAGTAAAATTATTCTATCTAATGCACTTTGAGAGTTCAAAATTAAGAGCTCCAACCCATGTTCCCTTTCAGTCGTCACGGAGACGTCACGTCGATGATCAACGAAATTGGGGATCTTGCTAGAGAGACCAATTTATTTTGATTGTAAACAAAACGAGCCAATGCACATTGGCATGCGATGATTGTATCCAGCTGCCGCTGATCGCAGCGCGAGTATAAATAGGCAGCAGGTGCAACGCATACTCAGCTTTTCGCTTCGGAGCAGAGCGATATCACTTCGTACTGCTCCTTCACCAACTCTTTGAGGGAAAACTCAACAATTTCAACGTGCTCTTGGGAGCATCTTTGTGCTGGTGGGATAGCGCTACACCGGCGGTCGTCTTCCTTTGTCGAGTGGGTTGCACACATCAGACTGCACTACCCCCTGTTTGTGTTGCAGGCGGCCATCTCCCCTGTGCGCTTCCGCACATTAAAAAAGCACTTTTCCCTAAAAGAGCATTCACAGGTGGCGTGCGTTTTTAAAGACGACGTTGTGTCTGTACCAACTCGACGTTGTATCTTTGTAAAGACAACATTGCGTCTTGATATAGATGCCGTTCCACCTGTGCGGTCGTTACCTGGCGCCGGGTGATGGTCACGATCGCTGCCTCACGTGTCTGGGCATTAAGCATGCTGAGGTAGTGTTCATGGATTAGTCATGTTCTCATTGCGGGAAGATGACCATCTTGGAGTTGCGGACCAGGCTCCATTACCTCGAAAGGGGTGGAGTTCCATTGCCTCTACCTCGATCTAGTTCTCGTCCTGGCAGCAGTCTAGGGCTCTATGCTTACTTTTCTTTTTAGGAGCGCTTGTGCTCCTAATTTAAAAAATTTAGGAGCACGGTCAAAAATTTACGAGCACTCTAATCAGTAATAAAAAAAATTCTGATAAAAAATTAACCTTCCCATTACGAGGTGATATTTGACTCCTTAAAGTGATTTACAGGGAATTTAGTTTTTACCTTTGTAATGACATTTTTCTAACTTTATTAAAAGTATGTCATCTTTTATGTCAAATTTAAAAATATATATTTATAAGCTTTTTAACATTTCTAATTAAAACAACAGAATAAAAACAAGTAGAATAAGAAGTAGAATAAGTATAAATTACCAATCAAATGAAATCAGTATTTAAGAAATAAATTTGTGTTACAGAGTTGGCACAGAAGAACACACAAGTGGCTTGTAGGTGTATTTTCAGACGTTTAATGAGGCTCAGAGATGCGCAGCGGCTCAGCTGTTACTTTTTTTTTTTAACTATTTTCGTTGATGAAATAGAGCAAAATAAGGAAATTGTGTTGTTGTCAGACAATATAAGTCACTTAATATTAACTTCTTGTTTAATGAACTGTTGTATTAAATCAATATCACATTTGCAAACTCCCTTAATAATCATTAAAAGCTGTCGCTCATCTTAGTTTATCCCGATCTCACAAAACTCCATTATAATCGACGAAGCTCTCTACACTGCACAATGAATATCTTATTTACACCCTGTCAACACTTTGTTATAATGAGAGGATACGTCTGTGAT